CAAGCGTTAGTGGTTGCTTCCACAGTTCGAACTTGTGACCTATAAGGCTTGAACAAATGAGACGAAATTCAGGGACAGATGCAGCAAACGAGTGTTGAGTTCAACTGAACTCAGTACTTTTGACGCGGAACATACATTTATATGTGAAAATCTATTAAAATTATACTCCCTCCGTCCACTATAAGTGACCATTTTACCTTTTTATTTTGGTTCAAAATTAAGATGGCATTAATTTTATTTTTTCAAAATTTGCTCTTATTTACATATTCCAATATGTCAAGGTAACAAATAACTAAGGTTAATTTAGAAAATACATCTTTTTTTTTCTCTAGGAGTTCGTATTTTCTTAATGGGTGTGCCAATGATAAAATGGTCACTTATCGTGGATCGGAGGAAGTAAAAAATAGTAGATATGCATCCATAACGTGTTACAGTATTATTTTCCCATTCTTTATCTGATGATAGTGTCCGGATTAGTTTTTGCGCAGCTCAATTATTTTATATGTCTGATATCTTTGACTATACATGTATCAATTGTTTTATTTATTAAAATTTGGGCAAAGGACAGCCCGGTGCACAAACTATCCTACATTCACAAAGTCAAAAAATTTGCAAAGGGTATTTTAATATACACGTATAAAAAATAATTTTTAGCCTATACACACAATATAAGTTTTTATATAAGCAGTATAATATTTCGATGAAGGGTGTTCTATTGACCTCCCTAACTTCAATGTATGTGGCTATATCACTGCATGTAGGGTCGGGGAAGAGTTACACCTCAAGGGATGTGATGTAGACAATCTAACCTAATGCAAGTATGAGTAGTTATTTTTACGGCTCGAACCCATGATCTAAAAGGCTTGGACAGATGAGAAGCATTTACCTTTTTTTTGTGTCAGATAAGATTTGAACTGAATATTTCATGGTTTTTCGCCTACTTCATTGACTACGTTTTGTATTGGCCACAACATTGTGTACTATTTTATCTTTGTTAAAACCTATTCTTTCCTTTTAAATTATCATCATCCGTTATTTTCCTATTCATTATCACATTTTTCACATTTAATTAATAGCTTCTCTATTTAATTCTTCCCGTTGCTAAAGACTTAATTGGTTTAATAGATCAAGGTGAAGTTGTTGAGACCAATTAATTATACAAGAAAATCCTTTTAAAATAGTACTATACCTCTTGGTAGGTATTATACGGGAAAAAAATAAGCACTTACGCCAAGTATTTATATTAAATTGTTTTAATTTATTGCAATTAAGTGTTAAATAAATATTAAATATGAATTAATTAATTATGGTCTAGTGATACATGTGTATGTGATGACACATATGCATATTATGTATTTATTTAGTTGGTGTATCTTCCGAGTGCAAAAATAAAATGTTAAGAAGTTGTAATCTTTGTAAGATAAATTAAGTGATCCTTATCGATTAAAAAAAAAGAAAATCTTAATTATATCCTTTGTTACACTTTAATTTAGAGTGATTCATACCCTAGCCGATAGCAAATTAAATTGTCGCATATTTTTCTTAATTTAACGAAATTCCATCATAGACCAGGTAAGTAGATTCCAAGTGTTTAAATACTTCAGGAAAAAAATGTTAAAATTTACCCTTTTATCTTGTACCACAATTTAAAATTATCATATGTTATATTTAAAGTTGGAGCTCTATTAAGATTAAGAGAAAGTATGAGACGATTTATTAACATGAAAGATATATAATGGACCTAAAGTATAACGGATGTTAAGATTAAAATATTTGGAATAATCGGTAGATAAATCTCCGATTATGATATGATATAAAACTCTATTGCTATAATCCTATTATCATGTTACAACTTACAAATATGTATTTTTCTAACAATAGATAGTAAGACAAATATCTTAAGTTAAATTGTAATTGCTTTGCAAATAAATTCAATCACAAATATGATAAGAGATCAATCAAAGCAATTTAGTTTTGTGTGCTACATCATTACTATTTATTTTTTAATTTTTTATCATTATAAAACTCCACGAAATTGTGAGTAAGATAAGGATATATTTACCTTCCCCAAATAACAACTTACTCAAACATTATTAATGTGCGCCGTCATTTTCATTTTTCTTAAAACAATTATTTTTATATATTTTTCTTTTTTCTTCTTTTGTCAAATGTTGAAAATGATATCGGTTTTATCCATATAAATAAACAAAAACGTGAAAAAAGAAAATTCTTTTCCTTAAACATTGAATTTCAAATGGATAAGAAACCACTGAAATATCTTAATACTTATTAATGATATTTTTTGATAATAAGCAAAAAAGGTAGTACATTTGATCACCTTTTTTTAAATTATTTCAAGTTACAAATATGGAATTGTTTTAGCTGTATATAATAAGCCAAATGTCGTAAGCCATTGCATGCGTAATTTCTTTTGCAATTAGATTTAGAAAAAAAATATTCGATGAATTAATCTAAATTTCTCTCAATTTCAACAATTCATTTCATGGGGTGGTTTTTGAAAACTTTGTTCATAATTTGAAATGAAAAATTTATTTAAACTACTGAACAAACAGATCGGATTCGATAAAGCAACCAATTGTTATTTGTTAGCTACATAATTTGCTAATATATTTTCTTTTTGGTCATTATATAACTTTATATGATATCTATAAGTAAGATCATAATATATTTTTTTCCTAATTTCTAACAACTTACTCAAACATGTTTTGCGAGCCAAAATTATCTGTATTTATAATTTGAAATTCAAAATTTGTTTTAATAAAGATAATGTGGGCGCGAATCATAATAGAAGTAGTATATTTTGAAAAAATACAGTCAAAACAAATAGATCAGATACAACAACCAATTGGTATTTGTTAGCTACATAATTTGCTCTATTTTCTTTTGGTCATTATATAACTTTGCAAAATAATATCTATAAGTATGATCATAATATAAATTTTTCTCTAATCTCTAACAACTTACTCAAACATATCATGATTGTGCGTCAACATTATCTTTATTCATAATTTGAATTTCAAAGTTTGTTTTTCAAATTTTAAAAAAATAAAGATAACGTTGACATGCAATCATAATATTATATTTTGAAAAATATACTATCAAAACAGACAGGCGGATACAACAAAGCAACCAACTGTTATTTTGTAGCTACATAATTTGCTAATCTGTTTTCTTTTTGGTCATTATATAATTTTACAAAACAATATCTATAAGTAAGATCATAATAATATTTTTCCCCTAATCTCTAATAACTTACTCAAACATAATATGATTGCGCGCCAACATTATCTTTATTCATAATTTAAAATTCAAAATTTATTTTTTAAACTTTTTAAAAAATAAAGATAATTTTGACGCGCAATCATAACATTATATTTTGAAAAAAATACGATCAAAACAGACAGGTCGGATACAACAAAGCAACCAATTGTTATTTGGTAGCTACATAATTGTCTACGTTTTTTTTTAGTCTTTACATAACTTTATTTCCCTAATCTCTAACAACTTACTCAAATATATTATGATTGCACGCCAATATTATTTTTATTCATAATTTGAAATTTGAAATTTGTTTTTTAGATTCTATAAATAAAAATAATGTTGGCTGCTCAATCATAATATTATATTTTGAAAAAAAATACAGTCAAAACAGATAGATCGGATACAACAAAGCAACCAATTGTTATTTTGTAGCTACAGAATTGTCTGATTTAGGCAAATATATATATATNTACTCAAACATATTATGATTGCGGCCAACATTATCTTTATTCATAATTTGAAATTCAAAATTTGTTTTTTAAACTTTTAAAAAAGTAAAGACAATGTTGGCGTGCAATTATAATATTATATTTTAAAAAAGATATAGTCAAAATAGACAATCGGATACAACACAGCAACATAATTGTCTAAGTTAAATTTTTTAGTCATTACATAACTTTATAAAATTAGATCTGTGAATAAGATTGCAATATATTTACTTTCCTCAAAACAACCTCTGACAACTTACTCAAATATTATGATTGTGATTTGTGTGTCACCATTATAATTTTCTCAAACAAATTATTTTCCCCGTTTTTTTAAAATTTCTTTTTCCTTATTTAGTCAAATATTGATAATGATGTTGGTTTTATCCATACTAAAATTAAATCAAAAAGTGGAAAAGACAACAAATTAGATGTAATTTTCCAAGAAGTATATTATAGATCCTCCATCTCAATTTTTGTGATATTTTTTATTTTCGATATTCAAATTTATTAATTTTGATCGTGCATTAGAATATAATTTTTTTTAATTTTTTGAAATAAAGTTTAGATATTTAAAAATTACGTAAAAAATATTATAATTCACAATAATTAATAATTTAAAATATATAAAAATATAATTAAATAATAATTTATTTGATTCTCGAAATTCAAATACCTATACATAAATTAGGACGGATGGTAGTATTTAAACTCATTAAAATCAATAAGCACCACTAGAAAAATTTCGTGTAAAAAAAGACCACGTTATCTAACATGTGACCTAATAATCGTAATAAATTAGCCCCTCCCATTAATAATTATTTACATAAAAATATTGACCCACATATTATACACACAACATTAGATATAGAGAGAGAGAATACAAAGATTTTATAGAAAGAGAAACGTTACAACTACACAAATAGATTAAGAAGAAAGAAAAGGAAAAGATCTCATTCAAGATATATATGAGGAATAAAAATATATAATCTAGTCAAATCTTGACCATCCAAAAATATAGCAGTCAAATCTTAGCCTTCCATAAATACACCACCTACCCCACCACCCCCT